AGGAATCCGAAGTTGAGCAAGGGAAAGCTGCCCCTTTCCACAGCACCAGCTGCAAAGCATTAGGCTGGCTTACCACAGCTACCTCCCCCTAACCTTCTCCTAACTACTAATTAATGATAAACTGACAGCTGTAGAATTTGTTCATATCCTTAATCTAAAGGTGAAGCATGGATACTTTCATACCGTGTGGTTTCCCCATGCTACATGTGAGTCTCGGTTCCAGCTCCTACGTGCACCCCCGTGTTCCTTGTCCGGCGTGCGTGCTTGCCATTCCCGCAGCCTCTCACGTCCCAGCTGGTGAGGTGAAGGCATCCCAAAAAGCAGCTTCAATAAGCTTGGGTGGCTTGTGTGGAAGTTAATTTTACTCTTGACCAAAAGTTTGCCCCAGAAGGTATCTTCTGTTGCACTGGGGCTAAGTGGACAGGCAGAAGGCCTGAAAAGACAGCATTGCAGAATTACCTGAGCAAGAGCTGTCTAGACAGAGACATAGACATGTTATCCTGAAAACTGGATTAGTAGGCCTAGTTTCTAATTGCTGCATGCACTTGTCTTCAGCCAAGCACGGTAAGTCAAGGTTCAGCATGTACAGACTGGAAATGGATAACATTTTTATTTATGGTTGATAAGGAGGACAGAGGACGGGCTGAGCCACATCTTGCAATGTAGCTAAGCCCCTGTTCGAAATATGTAGCGAGCGAGTCCATGTGTTCTTTTTTTCAGCTAGTATTCCCTATTAGCATTAATTGGGAATGCAAATAATGTAGCTATTCAAATTGGTTTAAAATGATTATTGCTTATCGAGTTTCATAATACTAAATAAAAACAAGTTCTATGATTTTTTTAACAGAAGACTAGTTTTAGATGAAACAGTTTTCATAGTGTTCTTTTGATAATGATTGAGCAATTTATAATCGTGATGAAAACATCATGCTGCTTTGTTTTTTCAAAGCAGTTTAGCATAAATATATTGCCACACATTGAACCTGGCAAGCAAATCTTCATCTCTTTCGAAATTTTGAGGATGGCAGAACTGTTGCAATACGGCTGATAGGAAGCTAAAATATAAGGTGGCAAAGAAAATTAAACTGGAGAAGGAGTATTCTACTGATAGACATCATTATATGTATGTTTTTGTAAAGGTATAAGAAAGACCATTATATATTACTGATCAGAGTAGTCTGGTACTGCATACCAAACTTCAAGAATAGTGACAGCACAAGCAAGTGCTGAGATGAATCTTTTATTTGTACAAAAGGACTGGTGATGGTGTGATTGGATGATTTGATGTTGGGTTTTCTGCCTTATCAGTATTTATTTCTGAGTACATCTTTAAGCATATGTGTGGGGAAAAAAGCATGTGATTGTCCCACAGCAAACAGCAAGCTGTGTGACAAATAGAATCATCAGAGAGGTCTAGGCTTTTAATGTAATTGGGGTTGGGGGCGGGGGCCAGAAATATATATATTGCATGGTCAAGTAAAGACAACAGTAGCAAGTACTGTTAAATACTATTTCTGATTTTTTTAATTTTTTTTTTTTTTTTTTTAATGAACCAAGCCCAAATATTTGAAAGAACAACTAGTGGACATGATTGTCTTCCTTGTGATGCACATACCTGTAAAGCCTGGCATAATTGTCTCCTGGGAGGAAAAATTCATCTAATTCTTGTTTTGTAGTTTGTTTTTTGTTTTGGTTTTTTTAGCCGAGCTTTTAAAAACAAGTGCAAAAGCACTGGAATATATATGTTACTGTTGTGTGTATATAGTTTTTACCGGTCTGTGCAGGAAATAATGATTTAGACATGTACTTAATTTTTATGCTTATGCTTTATATTTTGCAGTTTTCCTAGTTTGCTTCCATTTTTTTCCCCAGAAGAACTGTTACCCATAAGTAACTGCTGCTGCACTGTATAGTACAAATGTATAGAAACACTCAAGCTAGTTTTGAGTAATATAGGTAAGGTACCAGAAACCTAGGAAACAGTAACTCAGCCTTGTTAGAGGACACCCCTAAGGCAACTAAACCGGTTCTACTATTCAGTCCACCTGCTAACCTGATGCTAACTGTAGTCTCTGTGCTGGTATATGGTTTGGTGCAGACCTAACTTCAGAGAGGATTTTTAAAAAATCTTTCAGACTAAAAATGCCTAAATGGAATATAATACACACCTTTTATGTCGTTGTAACAGAGGGAAAATCAGCTGGCACCTTTCTTTCTACATGGTGACATTTAAAACTGCTTTAAGAAACAGCATGCTTGTATGCTATTAAGTATCACTTTACATTTAATTCTTCATGGTTGTGACTTTAATTCTTATTGCCATTCAGTGATGTTACAAAGCCTTAACAGTGTTGTTTTCTGAAGGTCAGTGTGGTAAACTGTGATGAATGAGTTTTGAGTATTGTAAGGTAGTTGTGAGGATGGCATGATAACTGTTTCATCCACCAGCTGCTTTTTCATCACTGAAAAATGAAGAACTCCATGCTTAGCTGTGGTTGGTACAGTTTTTCTGCTCTTACTTCATCATCTTTTGAGAGAGCGCTCCTTTTGGTGTAGAGCAAATATTTGCTTTGGTGAAGATATGGCAGTGTTTGGGGAGTTTGTTTGTCTTGTGTTTTTGGGGTTTGGGATTTCTTTTGTGACTGGAAAGCCCAAGCTGAAGTTTTCTGGGATCATATTCCAAGATATTTTAAAATTTCATTCACTGTTCAAAATTTCATTAAAAAACAAGCTTTCCTTTGCTTTCATTCATGTAGCAGTATAGTTCTCCAGCATCTTTGTTAAAAAGTCTTTAGTATTTTGGTTTTGGTTTTGTTTTTTTAAAGAAAAAAAAAGGCAAAAAAAGGCAAAAAAAAAAAAAAAGCCTAAAGGCCTGGCTAGCATTTTTTCTTTCTGGAATATTGAAATTAATAATGTTTTTATTGATATTTACAAACATTTGGCTGAAATTATGCAGCTGTCTGTCTTAACTGAGTAGAAATACACCATCTGCTGGCAGGTCGATTTAATAACACCCTATGCCAACTTAGAAATGTCTCAAACTGTTCCAAAAGGTCAACGATTTTAGAGGTAATTCACAGTCCTCTAAGTGGAGGGATTTCTGAAAAATGTGTGCAGCTGAAGGTCTATAGTGTGGTGGCCAATTGAGCCATATTTGTGGTCTGTGAGGAGAATTTAAATTGCTAGGACTTGGTTTTGTTCTTTTTTGGTTTGGGTTTTTGTTTGGTTTGGGTTTTTTTGTAGTGTATTACTTTTGGCCTGTGTGGTATGGAGTGTAATATGGAAAATACAAAAAGAACATGATGCCTGAAAACTAGAGATTATCCTACCCTTAATTAATTAATATTATTAGAATATTAATTACAATAGTGCTTAAATCTGGTGAGGCAAAAATATCTACTGATCATGCACACCTTCCTCAACCCATCTGCAGATGGGACTTGCACAAATTAATTTTCAGAAGGAATTAAAACAACCATAAAGGAGTGGGAAGATACAGGAACAATAAGCACTTTGATAAACGAGGAGCAAAGGAGCAAAAAGCCATGCAAAATACCCCCCAAAAAATGGTAACAGTCCTAATGGTGAACGTACTTCCTGCAAATGCTGCAGTTATATTGAACAAATACTGAATTATTAAAGGATTAGTTCCCTGTATGAAGGCTGCTTTCTGACTGTTTCTTTGTGCAGTTAGATAGATGATAAAGGGTCCAGCAGGTGGTACCTGGCTTACAGAATTAAATTAAAATGGAATTCTCCTTGCTCCACAGAAGGAGACTGCTATGTTATGCTGCATAGATATGCACCCCAGTTGCCATTGGGGATAGAATGGCATTAATGACTATAATGGTTTCAGCATTTCTCCTCTGATAACTTAGTAAGCAACTGCATTCAAATTGTTCCACAAACCACAGGTAAGAAATTGTCATGTGTAGCACAGATGTAGTGATTCCATCTTTTGTATAATTATCTGGAAAAAGAAGTCACAGGTAGTGACTGACGTGTCCTCTCCGAGAATATAAACAGCGTAATGCTATATTAAAAAAAAAACCAAAACATTTCTTTGTGTAGAGATGACTTTCTAAAGAGAAAGTATTTTGTGCAAGCAGTGTATTGTACTGATGATTTTTGTGTTAAGTGGAATTATGTAACGTTTATTAGCAGCCATTGAATAAAACTTTGTTTCTACAGGAGTTACTAAAGTTGATTATGGGGACATATCATCACGCCTTGGACTAAGACGCAAGCTGCAGTGCAAGCCTTTCTCCTGGTACCTGGAGAATGTTTATCCTGATTCCCAAATTCCACGCCATTACTTTTCTCTGGGAGAGGTAAGATTTTATCCTATGTATTTATCTACTCTATGTAATGTATGTTGCGCAGTAAGTTGTTTGTATGTTGAACTGAGTAGTGCAAACAAGTTATCTCCAGCAAAGTTCAAGTATCTTGCACCTGTGTTCCTGTCATCTGTAAAATGATACATCTGGCTTCTCAGTGGGGCAGAAAACTGAACTTTGGTATACAGTACTGTAATTTGAATGTTTTCCCTTTTTTACTACAGTACTAATTGTCACATAGAGGGTCTTTAGAAATGTTCCTTCAGAGATGTATAGTTATGGATAACTTTCTGTATAATGTTCTCTATGTAGAGTATGAGCAGAGTTTTGCTAAAAAACTAGACCAGGTCAAACAAGGACTTTGCCTAAAAACTGCTCTGAACTTTACCCCCAGAAACCCTCATCAGTGACCAGCAAATTTCAGTGATCCCTAAGCCGTGCTGGGCATTTCTCTGTTTTTTCTTTGAAGTTTTTTAAGTGACTGTAGAGGTAGTACAGGTGATGCTGTCCTAACTAAGTAGGCACCTACTCTCCCCTACAAGTCACGTTGAGCCAAATACTGAGCCTGTTGTAGGGTGATTTTGTACTGTTTGTTTTTTAAAAAAATGCTTTTAACAAAACGGAGCAGGCATTTGTGCTGCTGCATGACTCTCAGGAGACTTGATATTCATGGCTGCTTACTATATAGTAATACAGGGATTAAAGCTATAACTCAAGAAGTGAGGAAACTGAACCCAGTCACCCGTGATTTCAAATGGAATTAAACCCACCATGCCTAGGAGAGTGCTTTAAAACTTTGGAAGGTTTTGGGCTGGAGACTCAATTGGGTCCATTCTATTGTAGATGAGTCTTTGAGCAAAAAAGTCCCCAAGATGGAAAGATCCCCAAAAGAAAGCAAAGAAACAAACATGGTTCTGTAACGTGGTAGCTTGAACATTTGCTTGGGAGTTTGAGTCTTGGACAGTGGTCTTTGATTGTAGTACGGTTCTTATATTTTACATTTCATTCACATAACCTCTGGTGTATAGAGAGAACTGGGGCCAGTGTGGTTTGATATGGACCTAGTTCTCTCCTAAAAATATCAACTTTTGGTGATGTGCTCTTTTTCACTCCCAGATAAGAAACGTGGAGACGAATCAATGTCTGGATAACATGGCAAGAAAAGAAAACGAGAAAGTTGGAATCTTTAACTGTCATGGAATGGGTGGCAATCAGGTGACAATTTTTTAAAAAATGATCTTAATGTACTGAATTATTTGGAGCACTACTTCTCATCAGGACAATTCTTTGATTCTTTCAGTAGTTATCTTTAAAATATACTTAAGTTGTAAAGTTAAGGAAACCCTCATTGAAGAAGATGCCTGTAAGAGTAAATGCATGAGAAGATTTGGTGGTGGTTTGTCTTTTGTAGGTTTTTTGAGGCCTGATTGCAATAGGTTTTAGATGAACTTTCAAGTCAAAAATGAAGTGGGGGGGGAGGAAACAGCTATAAGCTAGACTTCATCTCCTGTAGGTTCTCTGGAACTGTCTTCTGGTTAGACCTCCTGATTTGCATTGTTAGTTTAAAAAAAAACATCCTTGTACCTGAAATGCTGTTTTTAATGTACATTTTTCTGGGTGTCAGTTCTGGAATTTATTTGACATCTGTTTTTTTGTTCTACTTTGTTAATAATTCTTAATGAATTATTTTCCAATGTACAGGGATTACCTGTGTTGGGGATCCTCCTGTTTCTATGCAGGAAGCAGTCTGTAATTCAAAAAAAAGTCAATTTTGACTGAAGAGCTTGTTCATACAGTGTTTATATAAATTCCCCCCCCCCGCCCACAAAATCTTTCTCTACATGCTGAAGGGAAAAGAAAAAAAAAATTAGTGAATATTAATGAAGTAATGCACAAATGTTTCCCCTTCCACCCGCCCCAGGAATCTTTTAGTTGAACTTTTTTTCCAGTTCCTCTCATTCTTTTTCTGTCTAGGTTTTCTCATACACTGCCAACAAAGAAATTCGAACAGATGATTTGTGTTTAGATGTATCCAAACTTAATGGCCCAGTAACGATGCTCAAGTGCCACCATCTAAAAGGAAATCAGCTTTGGGAATATGATCCAGTGGTAAGTCTTCTAACAACTTGTGACATTAAAATGAGACAGCTTGGGTTTTTATGTGAGCCTACAGAGCAACATCTTCCAGTGTGGGACTATTTGACAGTCAAAACAGGAAACAAAGTCAATATTATGTTCCCTCTGTTATTAATTCATGGTGTAGTCACTCAATGGGCATCTGTATTGCTTTAATTACCTGGTGAGTTTGGGGGGAGCTTTTAGAATATTTTCAATGTGCTTTTGGATCCTCTGGAGAAAGATAGTCTGCTAGTGTAGTCTTGTGTTACGATGAGATCAACAATGGAAAAGTATTCCAGGTGATTTCCAGTCCATTTTACTGGACCAGTAAAAGATAATGCTAACGATCTTGTGACAAATTCAGCACCTGGTGTCTTATCTTGCACAAGGTTAAAAGGAAGTACTTTTCTAATTAAAAAATCAGCATCCCAAAATTATAAGGAAGATTTTACATTTCTAATTGTGGTATGTTTAAGGTAGAGACGCTTAAAACGGCTTTATTTTAATCATCCTCTTTCTTGTTCATAATGTTCAAATTTATTTTGAACTGCCAGATCTAGAAATCATTGACTGTTGATCCATTCATCATTAATTTGATTTGCAAGCTATAAAAAAAATTTTGTGATTGAGTAGTGCAGTGAAGAACTCTGACTTACGGCATGGCTAGTTAGAAAAAAGTAGTTCTCAAGCTTAATTTAAAGTTTAATTTAAAATGTTAATTTAAAATCAGGTATTGCGAAAGACAGTTGCGAGACAATTTGTGGAAGAAGAATCTTGCCAGTATAATCATGACTTTATATTTATATTTA